GCCGCATGTGGAAGCGTTTAGCGCTGGCAGCCCCAAATCACCGCGTCCTCCGTCGCCCTGAACTCCGCCCTCAGAGGGCTGTGAACCGGCAGCGAGGTCGGAGGTCGAGGGCGAGGGGTGAGGATGGAGTCCGGGCCTCCCAGAGACCAGCAGCAGCCACGGGACAGAATCATCCGACAGAAAGTCAAACGTGCCACAAAAACGTAGTCGAGCAAAGATCTGCTCTAACGTGAACTAATAACCATCCTACAAAACACAACTCTGTGCTGCTGCTGTTTGGGCCTTTTTTCAGAAACTGTTCATCTGATCAGTCAGAGTGAGAACACAGCGCCACCTGCTGCTCAGCCGATGAGTCTGGGGTTGGTCACCTCGCAGTGACCTGGATGGAAAATAAATCCGAGAAGCAAACCTTCAAAGAGAGGAAAGATCATCGTGGCTTCAATTTGAAATGTCTTCGTTTTTGCATCTCTGTGGTTGTTTCTGGTCATTTTGCGTCTTTGTGGTTGTTTTGTGTTGTTGTTTTTGCAAATCTCTCTGGTCGTGTCGAATGTCTTTGTGGTTTTGTCGCGTCTGGATTTGCGTCTCCTTGTTTTCCTGTTGCAGCTTTGTTGTTGCATCTCATTGTGTGTTTGCATCTTTGCGGTTGTTTTGCGTCTTTGTAGTTGTCTTGTGGTTGTTGTGTCTTTGTTGTTGCATCTCTTGGTGTTTTGTGTTATTCTACATGTTTTTGTGGTTGTGTTGCATCTGTTTGTGTTCCCTTCATCGTTGCTTTGTGTCTTTGCTTTTCCAAATTTTGTCATTGTTTTGTGTGTTTTTGTGGTTGTTTTGCATCTCTTTGTGTTTGTTTTGCGTCGTTGCAGTTTTGTGTCTCTGTTTTTGCAAATCTCTCCGATCGTGTCGCACGTCTTTGTGGTTTTGTGTCTCTGTGGTTGTGTCGCGTCTGGATTTACGTCTCCTTGTTTTCCTGTTGCAGCTTTGTTGTTGCGTCTTTGCGTTTATTTCGTGTCTTTGCAGTTGTTGTGCGTCTTTGTAGTTGTTTTGTGGTTGGTATGTCTTTGTTTTTGCATCTCTTGGTGTTTTGTGTTATTCTTCGTGTGTTTGTGGTTGTGTTGCATCTGTTTGTACATATTTTTTTTGCATCTCTTTGCGTTTGTTTTGCGTCATTGCAGTTGTTTTGTGTCTTTGTTTTAGCAGATCTCTGCGGTTGTGTCGCACGTCTTTGTGGTGGCTTTAAATATTGTGATTCAGCCGTCGTTCGTTGTGTTCATTTGATCACATCTTTGGCAACCAGCAGTCCAGGAGCTGCACAGTACCACAATATTTACTCAGTTAATCAGCGAGTTGATCGGCAGAACGTTCATTTACAGTTTTGCTAATTGTTCAAATTATTCAATCCACTGATAACAGCTGCTACACAGAATATCTGCTCACATCTGTCATCATTTTACATTTTTGTCAAAGTTTCTGCTCTAAATGATTATTAATTAAACATTATTAAGGAAATAACAGTTAACAAATGCTACACATCTGTTACTTGCGGCTGACGTGCTCTCCTTTGCTCCAGGTTTTCAGTATTTATCTAAAACCGGACCAGGAGGCCTCGTGCAGGTCAGTGGAGGTGATATTCAGCCTCAGTGGTTCCAGTAACAGCAGCTGGAAGGAAGCGAAAGTCTGAACGTTTGAGTCGGACACAACAGGATTTTTTTTTTTTTTTTTAATGTGTGTCGACTTTCTGGCTTTAAACCAACCCGACGACCAGAACGAACCTCGAGCCCGTTTCTGTTCCTGCAGCTCTTTGTTTCCGACTCTTTTCATCTGTAACGTTACAGAAACCCGATCTGACGTCCTGCATTCCTGCAAACAAAAAGGAGGAGGAGCGACGAGACGGAGGGAAAAGAAAAAAAAAAAACGAAACGAGGAGTCTGGAAGTGTTTATGTGTTATGATCAGAATGACGGGAATTCATAGAAGCATCTGCTTTCAGTCGCGCCGCTGGAGAGAAGTCAGGGATGTGCTGGTTTTGTTTTAACTCGCTGCACCTGTCGCGTTATCACCTCACGCAGGATTCACAGCAGCGACATTAAAACCGCTGACGGGTGACGGGAAAAGCTTCAATCATCTGGTTCCAGTGGCTCCCGTCAGTCGGTTCTGGAAGTTGATGTTGGAAGCAACAAAAAATGAGAAGATCTGAGAGACTTTGGTGAGAACGTCTGCAAAGCATCAGGCGCTGGAGGTGTTCCTGTACCGGGTCGTGTCCAAGGAAGGACAACCAGAGACAGATGTGCTGATGCAGAGGTGTCAGAACCAACACGTCTGAAGCTGCGGCAGGATTAGAGTCCATGTGAGACGTTGGAACGAAACCATTTTACACCAGTTTGGCCGATAGTTGAGCAGAACGGGTATTTTTGTCCATCAAACGTTCAGAAATCACAAAAAAAAATGCATCGATTTCTGTCCACAAAGGTTAAAAAGAGACGCCGGCAGCAGGATGCATGATGGGAAGAAGCTGCTGAAGATGTTCTGATGGGAACCTTTAATCCTGATGTTGCTTCAACACCTGATGCAGAACGTCTGCAGCAGCACTCTCCGATGGACTCCTTCAACAGGACGAAGCTTCCTTTAAATGTTTGGGAACGTTGGAGGAACGCGACCAAGAGTTCAAGGTGTTCTTCCAGGACTTCAAGAACCTTCACTCTCGAAAGCAGAAGAGTCTCGAGGAACCTTTGCCGATGGGAAAGTTCAAACTGATTCCTTGAGAAATTGTCTTATAAGATATATATAGTAGTAGATCTTTTTCCTCCCAGTCCCAAATATAACAAAATATATGACATATTATTGTAGTTTTTCCCTTTTTCTTTTACATGTGGGCAAATAGTGACCCTAGCGTTAGTATAAGATCAATAAATCTGTCCAAATGCACTAAAATAGTGTCTAGAACTAGTGATAGCTTCTTATCCTTTTTTACTATTATCACCGTCTTCTTTTTTTTGTTTTGTTTTTTTTTAAAGCACCTCTGATTTTGGCTTCTATCTGTTCATGGTGTTTAAATAATCTCCCATAACCTCTCGTTCTGTGCCTGAAGAGCATTTTGTTTATGGAGTAATCCTGATTATCTCCACGTTGGGTCTCTCTGTGACACCTGAACAGCAGAACTCGGAGCTGAGGAGGACGTCTGATGTGAACCTCTGCTTTCTGTTTTTGTCGTGTTCGTTGACCGCTTTGTGAACGCCGTGATTGTGAAACGCGTCCTGATTAAACAGCGACACTCCTCCGAGCTGAACTCTGACCTCCGTC